TTTTAAACAATGTCGTATTGCAACTGTGTCTTACATATGCTATTTCGTGGTCTTAATATTGTATATAGTATGTTGTATTGCATCATGTTAGATCAGATATTGACTTTTATGTTATTGGTCCCAATTTATTATGTTTTGGCTTGTATATGTTATACTACAGTCTGTTATGTTTGACATGTGTAGCTTATGTTCTACATGTTGTATACTAACAGATCATGGTTTATACTATTACGCTTATTGAATCCTATATAAAATAGCACAGCCAGATCTTCACATCATATACGATTAGATACATGCACTTATCCCGTCAAACCTAATCCCTGGACCTTGTTTCCCTCATCCCCAACCCTAAACCCTAAACCCTAAACCCTCAACCCTAAACCCTCGACCCTAAACCCTGAACCCTCAACTCAACCCTAAAACCCTAAACCCTATACCCGGAGCCCTAAGCTCCAGACCCCGGAGGCAGAAATACGCGGAGATGTGCAAAGAAGAACGGCAGTCACCTGAGAAGGCGCAGGTCCCTGTGAAGGGTTACGTTGATTTTTCCATATTCTTAGTATTACTATTATTATTACTCCTTATTGTTAATATTATGAATGTCATTATTCGTATTTTTTGGTTTTTGTCTTTTTTTTTTGAGGGGGGGGGGGCGTCGTGTGATTTAGGGTTTGGGCATTTGAGGGTTTGGGCTTTATGGAGGGGTTGGGTTAAATCATCGTAATCGGGGCGGTAGAGTTCAACCCGAAGCCTTAAAAAGTCCTAAACACCCAACACGCCGGAGCCCTCAATTTCCTACATCCCAAAAATACTAGTCCCTACACCCTAAAGCCTCAAAGCCCCAACCCCCTATATCCAACAGCCCTGGTCTCTCAACCCGAAACCCTAGATCTTCTTTACATCCCCTATAGAGCCCTTACGGAACCCTATGGCCCTCCAACCCCAAGCTAAGTCACGCCTTAAACCCTAAACCCTAAACCCTAAACCCTAAACCCTAAACCCTAAACCCTAAACACAGGAGATGTTGCGATGGGCAATCTCGACGAACGATGGCGTCGGGACCTTTACGGGCCTAGAATGGTGTGTTTAGGGATTTGGGGCTTGAGGCTTCCAGGTTCTGGGTTTGGGGTCTAGGGTTCAGGGTTTAGGGTTTAGAGTTTGGGGATTGTAATTTGGAGGCTTTGTATTTCTTTTAGGTTTTGTTTAGGGCTTGGGGCCTGGGAGCAAGAGCCAGGAGGCCGCAACACAACGCAAGCTCCATCTCCAAACGCAAAGACCTGCCGAGCCCTAATCTCTTCTTCACGGTTGCTGGGTTTGGTAGCGAGTTTCGTGCTTTTTAGGCTCGTCCTCTCACACTTATAGGGCTTCGGGCCTAGGGTAGGGTTTAGGGTTCACTCGATCCCCAGGGTTCTCCCGTGAAGAATCCTCTGCAAGAACAGCTGAGCGACTGATTTGCTCTGTGGGATGGGATGGGGGGGGATATTAACGATCCTTCGCAGAGCATCCACTTTTCTCAGATGCTCCAGGGTGCCTTCTCAGGTTTCTCACAGGTTTCTCACAGGTTTCTAACAGCTTTCTCACAGGTTT